GTGTATGAATACCATTATACCACGCTTATATTCGATCAAACAGTTCCATGAATCAGTCTTCAGAAACGATTACGTGGAGATTTATTGCTAATCTTAGGCATTACTATAAATTACATTTCTAGAATGTATGACAGGTGTCAATTGTCAATGATATTTCTTTCTTGCCAGATTGGCATTTTGCCTTTGATAAGGTAAGTAGACTGGTTGTAGGATTTAGATATCCTTATCGTAAGGACATACTTCAGGTGACATTTACAAGCGCAGTGGGGGACGTATGAGTGTCCTAATAATAAAGATTACGTGAACGTTTTGGAAGGAATACCTTCTACATGTTAAACCAAACGCTGTGAGCCCGATGTTGTCTCGAAATAGTTGTATTGAAACTCTATTCACACTTGAACTTTAGGGTTGTACCACTGCCGATGCGACTTTTGTATTTTGACTCTCCCACGGACGTACAGGGATACACAATGCGTTTCTCATAGACTGGGTTAAATGTCTCAAGAAGGGATATGTAAAATACAACCATTGCATAACAATGTGTTAGCTTTTAAGTAGAGTGGAGTATATATTCTATGAGTAGCTATTAACATGTATTTGCTTGAATCATTCAGATAACATATTCGTATCACTAACAAATTTAAGTACTTAAATAACAAATGAATCAAAAACAATATATACCCTGTAAAAAACGTAACGCAAAAGTAGTAAAATCGTTACAAATGTAATAATAAACAAATCCTGACGAGCTTCTTAGTCATGAATCTCAAAATTATGAATAACGTTCTTCGATTTTATGTTAAGGAAAACGCACAGGTAACTGTGCATTCGTTACAAATATGTATGAGTCAGCGACGCTAGCGAGAATCATCATTTGGAAGGAATATCACTAACAAAATAATTTCTGGTGTCCCGGCCGTGATATTGCTGGAATATTGTTAAAAACGGCGTAAAACCATACTCACTCACTCAGTAACCAAATACTGCTAAATAAGATTTAAAACACAACCTGAAAGTTAAAATATTTTATAAATATATATGAAGATAAATACAACACAATATCCTGCCCGGAAATGTCATGCAGTATATTCGTCATACATGTTAATCTTTAACTTCGTGCCTTGACATCCATGCTGCTAACCCTATATTCGCGCTCCACGCCTGCGTGCGTGCATTTTATTCGATTAGATCATGTAGCCAGTAAATTCGTGATCTATTGCATCAAATTAATGCATGAGCTTGCAATAAACTCTGAATTCGTTACAGATAATCTACAGTTGAAACAATAGAGTGACGTCATAGCTGTATTTTGACTAGCCTTGGTCCCTGCTAGACTTAGCCGATACTTAGGTTCATCACGATTTATCACGTGACTGCGTGTCCAAGTCGTTGTTGGAAATTTGCCAAGTTTCCGAAGATTGTGTATAGATTTTACCTACTGCTCACCCACTAACTGTTCAGTGTTGCACTCCTAAATATATTAGCATTGGATCTATTCAGGACAAACGACAGGGACCGTTGTCAGTTTCCTGCAATGGTCTCCGTTGGATGAACAGTGGGTATTAGAGTGCGTGAGTCAGTGAGTGAGTCAGTGAGTGAGTGAATTCGTATCGGCGAAATTCCTTCCATATACCGTGAGTGAGTGAGTGAGTATAGTTTTACGCAATATTCCAGCAATATCACGGCGGGGGACACAAGAAAAATGGGTTTCACACATTGTACCCATGTCGGGAATCGAACCCGGGTCTTCGGTGTGACGAGCGAAAGCTTTAACCACTAAACTACCCTCATAGTCGCCTTTTACGGCAAGCATGGTTGCTGAAGACCTATTCTATCCCGGATCTTCACGGGTTGACGGCGGCCGGTAAACAAGCGAGTCTTGACCACACAAACCAATTCTTGTCAGGCTGGTGAACCTTGTCAACTAATAACGGAAACTGTTGACATGTACACGATCCAGATTGAAACACAAACTAGTGAATTATTGTCTATTAATCATAAATCTTATTATGTAAAAACAATCAAGCCATGATATCACCCTAAACAACCCTAAGGGTTGACAACAATACACATTCGTTCCACGTGTTGTATACATATAAACTTTCCATACGTTTTCGTGTTTTTCAGGTGAACAATTGACTTGCCGTTGCATGTGTTTGTTACGGATGCCACCAGTGGAGTGGAGTTTTCGTATGATCATGAAAAGGATTATGTCGCTTTTACTTACGAAGATACCGTGGCACGGTGATGGCAACAATAATCCCTTTCAAGGACCTCCTCGGCTGGTCAGTTTATCAGTGCTAGTGTATGCCACGCTATCATCTTGTCTTACGAACCTATGAAGATCCGGGTTAGAAATGATCTTCAGCAACCCATGTTTGCCGTAAGACGCGACACACTGGTCCGGGTGGTCAGATTCGCATGTCATCGTATCCCAATTGCGTAGATCGATGCTCGTGATGTCAATCACTGGATTATCTGATCCAGACTCGATTATTTACAGACCGCCGTCATATAGCTGGACTAATGGAGTCCGGCGTTAAACAACAAAATATTTAGTTACTAGTATCTGAGGTATGTCTATGAAAATAAGTATGACAGTGATGACAGGTCGTGTCTACCTGTGTAGGCTGTTAACCTGTCTGACTAATAATAACGCTTACGTGTCTGTTTGAGATACGGGAATCAATGTGGGTAGGTAGGCTTTGACTGATTGTCTGTTTACAATTTGATACCCATTAGTGGAATAAATGTTCTTATAGCTATGACTGCATTGGAGTGAGTGAGTGAGTATGATTTTACGCCGCTTTTAGCAATATTCCAGCAATATCACGGCGGGGGACACCAGAAATGGGCTTCACACATTGTACCCATGTCGGGAATCGAACCCGGGTCTTCGGCGTGACGAGCGAACGCTTAAACCACTGGGCTACCCGACCGCCCCGACTGCATTGGAGATCTAGGTTACAGTTGGTCTTTATCACCCCATGATTGTCGTTAGAGACGACCAACGGGATCTGGTTATCTGGCTCACTGACCTGGTTGATAAGGAAGCATTCCTTTTGACTTTCCTAAAGGGCTACATGAGTGAGTGAGTGAGTGAGTGAGTGAGTGAGTGAGTATGATTTTACGCCGCTTTTAGCAATATTCCAGCAATATCACGGCGGGGGACACCAGAAATGGGCTTCACACATTGTACCCATGTCGGGAATCGAACCCGGGTCTTTGGCGTGACGAGCGAACGCTTTAACCACTAGGCTACCTGACCGCCCCCTAAAGGGCTACATGACAAAATGTACTTAGAAGACCAGATTCATGTTTTACTTGTACGTGATGCATAGACCTATATTAGAAAAAAGTATATTAGTAAATACATCAGAAATGACAGTGCAGTAAACATATTCATAAATATTATGAACACTCCAAATACACAAACAATAAGTGATCTCTGTTTATATGTGCAAAAAATAAGAAATATGTTCAATACTACTTAATATACCTATTTTCAAAGAATGCTACATACGATATGTGTGTCTGTGCTATATGTGTGTATATGTTTGTGTCTGTATTTGACATCCCACTACTAATTGCACCTCTATAGCAGTAGTATTACAGGATTTGGTATGAGGGTGTGTATATGTGTGTATGTATAGTAGCGCTAAGAAATGAAACCTTTATATGTCTGTACTTTGGGCCATTGGCCTCTATACTGAATAATTTGTCTTGTCTTGTAAGGGTGTGGGTTGGGGTGTTTCGTAATGTATGGGGGGTTGTGTGTGTTAGTTTGCCAAAAATATGCCCAAAATGAATAGTTTGTTGGCAGTGTTAGTAAAAATGAATAGTTTGTTGGCAGTGTTAGTAAAAATGAATAGTTTGTTGGCAGTGTTAGTAAAATGAATAGTTTGTTGGCAGTGTTAGTAAAATGAATAGTTTGTTGGCAGTGTTAGTTAAAATGAATAGTTTGTTGGCAGTGTTAGTAAAAATGAATAGTTTGTTGGCAGTGTTAGTAAAAAGAATAGTTTGTTGGCAGTGTTAGTAAAAATGAATTTTTGTTGGCAGTGTTAGTAAAAAGAATAGTTTGTTGGCAGTGTTAGTAAAAATGAATAGTTTATTTTGTGGAACATCCTCAAACGTCAAACATTTTGTGTTAATAGTAAAAATGAATAGATTGTTTGATGGCGCCCAGTGACTAAGTAGATTGTTGGATATAGTTGTGGGAAAATAGATTGTTCTCAACACTGTCACGCATATGCACGTCGCTATATCCATTGTGAGTGCAATAGTCAACGCAACGTTAGTCCCCATCTCACCTCCCTTGCATGCACCTATTTGTTAGTACTTTCTGCTGATCCGTGATGCCATTGTTAGCGGGTCACAGCTCAGTAACTTGTGTTCTTTATTTGCAAAAATCAAAATTTGAAACTTAACGTTCCTTCCGAACGCAACAGAAAGATACGGCCTGTCTTCAGACTAACATCTTGTCTCTGACATGAACATTATCTAAAAGAAAAGACAGTTGATAAATTATCTTTAAAAAATAAAATAAAAAGAGGCTCTCTTCATTTTCAAATACGGCAGTAATCTTGGCTTACCCACTTTTATAGACTTGCGTGGGCTTTGTTAGATATATTTGTTTCAGGATCCGTATGACAGACTAGCCTGACTTTTAAACGTCTCATGTTTGAATGAGATTAATTATGATTTGAAATCTCCCATCGACAATCAGATTCGGACTTTCCCCAAATTTATGGTAGAATGAATCATAATACTAATCTAAAATAGCATCACTATGTTTATATATCCTTTCAAATAAATATATAATATCCTTGTATATAGTCACCACAATGAGTTCATCGTTTTGTGTTATTATGAAACATGATTTTATGACTCATAATAACAAGTTTATCTACCCCAGCACAATATATGCAATTATAACATTTACAAATTATTGCTGCATTTTCATTGGTCGGGAAAGGGTCACCTGACCTTCCTTAGAATACGGCACTGCCCCGAGATCCACCCTGCCGCGCAGCGATCAAAAGTAGTTCTGACCTGCGTGATTAAGCCAACTAGAGCTGACGCATAGTGTATTATTTGAAAAATGATTTCATTTATAATATTCCATTGTATCGTATACACCAAATTCTATCCACAAATTGCGCCCACACTCAATACTATTCGCTGACGAGGCCTTTAGGGGAATCCCCTTGTAGCAATCTCATATTCTACCTCGTCGCTATCAGCTTCGGACGGACTGTTACACATGCTGCGATGTATTCAGTGTTACTGTGAACATATTATCTTAAACAATGTGATTCTCTACATATTTGTGTGTGTTAATACTCTGCTGGCAATGGCCAGAATGGACATGAAGTCGGAACGGTGTAGACTGGGGACGTTCTCAAGATGGGCGTATGGATCTATACAACGACCCGTCGACCTTGCGGCAAACGGACTGTTTCATACGGGCTATCTAGATAAGGTACAGTGTGCTTTCTGTCATGGTGTGTTGAAAAAATGGCAAAAGTCGGACATTCCATTCGATGAGCATACAAGACACTTTCCTCACTGCAGGTTCATTCGGGGACTTAATGTTGGTAATATTCCTATGGGTTGTGATGCACGTGTACTGTTATACGACACAAACCATCCTCATCATCAATGCAGAACTATATCACCTAATACCTCATCATTAAGTGCGCGATCATACGACAAACCCGTCGGTAACGCAGATTTAACAGTTGAAGATAATCGGCTAAGTACATTTATCAACTGGCCACTTCACTTACCCCAAACCCCTAAGACACTGTCAGAAGCTGGGTTCTTTCATACGCCATGCGTTGAGAAGCCTGACCGCGTCCAGTGTGCTTATTGTAAAGTAAAGTTGTACAATTGGTTAGACGACGATGACCCTTGGATGACCCATGCACAGAACTCTCCATCTTGTCTCTACATCAAACTGTGTATGGGTGCCGATGTTGTGAATGATTTGCTGAATCAAGGAACTATTAAAGCTTCAAACAGGTTTGTCATTAGTATATTCTTAACGAAAACAGTATCTGATTAACAGTCGGACTTATAGCACGGTTTCCATTAGATTCCGGGGGAGCATCGTCCCCATCATGCTTATCGTAAAGGCCAATTAAAGATGTGCAAGACATGCTTACCCTTTCGCGAACACCTGGTGTCATTACTGATTTTCAGTTATCCATTATATAATGTTAACCGCTATTTTGCCTTTAAGGCCCATGGAATCTATTTAGGCGGATAATCGAGACTGGTTACTCTCTGGCATTGTGTTCCATGATAATTTGGGTCGATGCTCACGCTGTCAACCACCGGTTTGTCTGACCTAAACTTGATAATGTGGGTATTGCTGACTGCTGTCTGCGGCGTAAACCAACATTAACTTAACTCACTCACTCTTTAGCACGGATGATAACTCATCTATCAAACGATAGCTTTAAAATGAAAGTTTATAATTGTTGATTAATGTTGCAAATTTGCAAGAAGGGGTAAGCGGGTTTACATCTCGTGTACCCTGTCTCAAGACTTTATTCCTCGTTGATCAAATTTGCAATGGAGGATATGACAGCTGAAGATTCGTGTACCCAAACTGTAGGCTATGTTGACGTCCCAAGGGATGGTAGATGTTCTATTAAACATTTGACATGTTCAGCAGAAAACTTTCCAGGCACAAAACATCAGTTTATAATATAACAAAACAGAGAACACGAAGGTAATAATAAGTGCACTGTAAAACATACATATAGCACTGCCGTAACCTACAATAACATGAAAAGATTAGTAATGCATATATTGATGCACTATCAAATAAGGCAACACATTATACAAGTCGGTTGAGATGACATAAAGCCTATTTTCACTTTGCATTCACCAATGCAACCAACGTGGCGCTATTTTGAGCCCTGTTCCTGGGGAGAGATTATGTGTCCTTGACTTCCCTGTAAATGCATAGCACAGTGGTTGAAGTTGAGTACAGGGTCTAAACTGATGGCTTGTCAAAGCCCCGGATTATATTCCCAAATTAGCAACTGAGTGCAACCCATTTTGGATCACCATGCTGTAATATAGCTCGAATTTCCACAATAATTACAAATCCCCATTGTCCATGTCATGGTTGTATGGATCTCACAACATCAATTGCATGTGGTTATTACCCAAAACTCAAGCAGTGGGCAAGGGCTCCATGCTTACAGTCATCAAGTTTCGGTGTTAGTTTGCTTTCCACCTCTTTTCCACTTCACATATTCTTGACATTCGCTAAAAGGTCTGGAAACCGGTTTCTTAGCCAATTACAATGTGTCCTCTGTGATGCAAGCATCAATCCTGCATTTCCTTTTGAATTGCATGAACGTCGCTATATAAGTGCAATAATCTTGGACGCGACGTTAAACCCAATTACACCTCATCTCAACTTGAATTGCATGAACAGTTGAGTGAGTGAGTGAGTGAGTGAGTTATGTTTAACGCCGCTATTAACATTATTTGGGTTATATCACGGCGTGACAGCTTAATGTAAGAGGAAAGCCAGAAGTGATGCAGGTCTTAGACGTTTACCGCTTCGGTGAAACTCACGAGCAGGGGTATGGTGCTGACAAACCTAGAAACATAATCGGGGCGAACCGGTCACTCATGGCAAATCTCAGTACCATACGTAACCTTCAATGAACCTGTTGAATGCTGTTGAAGTGTAAACCGTGAACCAGATAATGATGGACAGAAATATGAACAGACACTCCATAGCCATCAACGTGGCTTCTTGTTGATGTCAAACAGCATTGAACGTAACACCTCCATCCCTGAATATTGCAGATGCACATTAATGTTTCAGCTGTAACAAAGATGAGGATGACATCCAATCCAAGGTCCCTCCGAGTCCTCCTCCTTCACCAGCAAGGCGGACGATTCAGGATAATATCACTCATCATATGGAAAGTGAGTCGGTCCAGGCGGTACTAGAAATGGGCTTTAGCCAGGTTCTCGTCGCGCAAACTATAGAAACCTGCCTCGGGGAAGACGACGGTACCTTGCCCTCTGCCTCGGAACTGGCCTCAATGGTACTTGCCCTGGAGGAAGAACAAGCATCTCCAGGTCCTGCTCCTGCTCTACCTCAAACACCCTTACAGAGACTGGTGGCTTCTAGAATAGATGTACCTCAAACGACAACTCATCACGAAGTAATGGTAAATGGCATCAGACACATCGATCCTACTTATAATGCACTGACATCTCCCATCCAGACACCTAATTCCACACAAAGCGTTATGAACATCAATGGAACAACACCAAAAAATCAGATGTGGCAAAAATACAGAGATCCTGCTCAAAGACTACGCGAGGAAAACGTTCGTCTTAGTGATCGATATCTTTGTAAGATTTGTATGGAAAACCAGGTCAGGGTGACCTTCTTGCCCTGCGGCCATCTTGCCTGCTGTGGTTCCTGTTCATCATCTGTGTCCCTGTGTCCTATCTGTAGAATGAGTATCGACGATCATATCAATACGTATTACTGAAGGAAGACAAAGACAGAATCAGGCCAGGTAATGGACACCTAGAGAAAGATAGTGTTCAGCATCAACATTGACGCCCATGACAGCAAATCATTGGCGGTCCGATGCTTTGGGCTCTCCGGGTCATGGAAGAAACGAAGAGGGATGCAAGTGAATGCTTACTATGCTTGCTCCACTATCCGACCCCCAGACCTAAACTATCATATATGAAATATCCTTTAAAAAATTCATTGTTGGATTAAATCTATTTAATTGTCCCTCATATGCCTAATAAAACGTTTTACATCACACGCAGTTCTATTATTATTACGAGTTGACATGTTACTAAGAATTAGGTTTGGTGAAATATTTGTGACCTATTGTGTTTATCTTAAAGTCGCCATCGCTGTCACAATTCGGAGTACGAACAGGGTCAATCGTAACGTCAAAGCGAATACTCTGACGCCATGATTTCCGCACGGGCAGGACAACGCAACTTGCAAGTCAATCAGACAGATTGATTCTTTCACGAGAAATGCTACGTGCACTGACTTAAGTATAAAATAAATCACCTGACTCTGGATGAAGATGAAGAGATGTAGGATGTGACATCGTTTATGTTATGTGCAGTAGAGATTGCCATAAGTGGGGGGGGGGGGGGGGGGGGGGGGGGTCGTTAGTGGCGGCAAATGAGTGAAACGCTCTTAAAATACTGAGTGTTGTAACATGAAGTGTGATTTAGAGTTACCTCCCTTGGCTGTTGACAAACACAGGAAAGCTTGATCATTCGAGAAGTTTCGTAATGGGACAGTTACTAATAGGCTGGCTGTACGTGTACACGTGTTGCACGAGGGAGGACTAACTGAAAACACCTAAAAAAACAGCCAGCTTCCAACACCATTCCGACTGCCTCCATGAGAGCGGAAAGACGGTGGTTCGATCACCGGCCGAGTCATACCAAAAGACGTTTAAAGATGGTATTTGTTGTTACCCTGTCTGGCGCTCGGCATTAAGGGGATAAAACAAGGTCTGGTCGACTCGGAGTCAGTATACTGTGTCTGAGTGGGGTATTCATGTTAAATTGCGGCATGGTATCTCGGTGGCCAAGCACTATTAACTCGGCATTAGTCCGGACTAGTACAAGCAGACACACACACACACACACACACACACACACACACACACACACACATACAAGCAAGTCGCTATGTAAGTGCAATAAGTGGACGCGACGTTAAACCCCATTTCACCTCACCACACCTCACCTCTAAGACTTTTGTCCGGATTTAAGAACGTAGAGCGTGCCTTCTTCATGACAATCGACAGTGACACATTCTGCACATTCTGCACAGGTACGTGAGAGTGAGTGAGTGAGTTGTCTTTAACGCCGCTTTAACACTATTCCAGTTATATCACGGCGTGTCAGCTTAATGTGGGAGGAAAGCCCGAAGTGATGCAGGACTTTTACAACTTTGGTAAAACCCACGAGCACGGGTATGGTGCTGACAAACCTAGAAACAAAATCGGGGCGAACTTGGATGCGGACCCACAATCATATGTTTCTCGCGGACCCAAGGGACGCAACTCTGCGCAGCAAATTGCGGCGCCTTAGACGACTGAGCCACCCGTACCCTACAGCGCTAGGAGCATACTTCTGGTAATATTGGTTACGGTTCACCAAGAATAGACTGACTGACTGAGTATGGTTTTACGCCGATTTTAGCAATATTCCAGCAATATCACGGCGGGGGACACCAGAAATGGGCTTTACACATTGTACCCATGTGGGGAATCGAACCCGGGTCTTCGGCGTGACGAGCAAACGCTTTAACCACTAGGCTACCCGAATAGACATAACACACAACCAAAAGTGGATTCGAACCTTTCTCTAACGCTGTTAACACGGGGCGTTTTGTTTCTGAACGGCCTGTATGCAACATGCAAGGATTTGTCACAACTGAAAGAACATGTCCATAATTTGTATAAGTCGCAAAATTAGATAACATTGCAATCCCTAAAAATATCACTAGATATGAATTTGATAACACCTCAGTAATTATCACACAGAGTGATACATGTTTATTCGGCTTAAGGGTGATTTAGTGCTGCAAGAAGTCTTCCGTGCTGTTGACCCAGGAAGGTGATAGGTGACAGGCGTGGCGTCACGATACTGAATTCACCACGAACAAAAGCCATTGACAGATAGCAATGTTATTTTAATGCAAACATTCACGCACATGCGTCCCATACAACAGCAATCCCAGTATATAATACTGTTTATATGATTATATATAAGTCAGCATGCGTCAAACCTATAACCTATAACATGCAATAAGCCTCACCTGTAAACATTACATCTTTGATTGATCACAATGGCACACGCCCATTTCTGTAAACATACACACGCATAAACGCCGCACACTATGATTTGGACACGCCTTTGCTGAAATATATTTAAATTTACTTACAACATATATTAAATATTCTTTTTTTGCTAAACAGTGCATGTAAACACCTTACATTATCTTTAATGAGCTATACCTGTACATACCTTATAATTGCTTTGATAAGCTGCACCTATAAACACCTTACATTGTCTTTAATTAACTATACCTGTACACACCTTATACTGTCTTTGATCAGCTGCACCTATAAACACCTTACATTGTCTTTAATTAACTATACCTGTACACACCTTATAATGTCTTTGATAAGCTGCACCTATAAACACCTTACATTGTCTTTATTGAGCTATATCTGTACACACCTTAGAATGTCTTTGATAAGCTGCACCTATAAACACCTTACATTGTCTTTAATTAACTATATCTGTACACACCTTATACTGTGTTTGATCAGCTGCACCTATAAACACCTTACATTGTCTTTAATGAGCTATATCTGTACACACCTTAGAATGTCTTTGATAAGCTGCACCTATAAACACCTTACATTGTTTTTAATGAGCTATATCTGTACACACCTTATACTGTCTTTGATCAGCTGCACCTATAAACACCTTACATTGTCTTTAATGAGCTATACCTGTACACACCTTAGAATGTCTTTGATAAGCTGCACCTATAAACACCTTACATTGTCTTTATTGAGCTATACCTGTACACACCTTAGAATGTCTTTGATAAGCTGCACCTATAAACACCTTACATTGTCTTTAATGAGCTATATCTGTACACACCTTAGAATGTCTTTGATAAGCTGCACCTATAAACACCTTACATTGTCTTTAATGAGCTATATCTGTACATACCTTATAATGTCTTTGATAAGCTGCACCTATAAACACCTTACATTGTCTTTAATGAGCTATACCTATACATACCTTGCCCTGTCTTTAATGAGCTATACCTGTACATACCTTGCCCTGTCTTTAATGAGCTAGCAATACCACGGAGGGGGACACCAGAAATGGGCTTCACATATTGTACCCATGTCGGGAATCGAACCCGGATCTTCGGCGTCACGAGCGAACGCTTTAACCAATAGGCTACCCCAAAGCACAGAATCCACTTAAGTACATATATATGACAAATTATTATTAGTTCCAGAACATATATACTTCAACAAGTAATAATAAACTGTATATTAAAATATTACTTAGAACTCTGATGTTATTCCTTAATACATGTTTACTCACTGCGTAAACATAAAACGTCCTTACCAGACTACAACCCGTCTTAATCATCTCACGAGTGAGTGAGTGAGTGAGTGAGTGTGGTGTTACGCCGCTTTTAGCAATATTCCAGCAATATCACGGCAGGGGACACCAGACACCAGAAATGGGCTTCACACATTGTACCCATGTCGGGAATCGAACCCGGGTCTTCGGCGTGACGAGCGAACGCTTTAACCACTAGGCTACCCGACCGCCCCAATCATCTCATGAAACAGATTCAATTGGGCGTAGAAGTCAAACTGGCGGTGACAATGACATGAATGGATCACTGATAATCACTTCTACCCCGACACCCAGACGCCGAACCATGCTTTTAAAACTTCTTTCCGCACATACATGTCATTTGAAACATGTATTTTCGCAGTTTGGCACAGCGTTCGTAACAACACTTGGATTAAATGTGGATTTTACCGAAGCTTCCTTCAACTGAGGTCACATTCGCTTTCTCTGTTCAAAAAGAGTGTTACCTCTTGTTGCCCCAATAGATCCAAAATAATCTATCTTGTGTAGGCATTACCTTGGCTACCATTTCACTGTACTGTGAGATCGTAGTTCGGACAATGATAATCCGGACATTTACTGTTTGGGATGTCGACAGTCAATGGGACATTATCACTTACCGTTATCATGGGAACGGAATCAACCTGATTACCATGGTCACGTACACGCACGCACGCACGCGAAAAAAAAGACAATTGCAAAGAGACACATTTATTAACAAGATCAAAGAATCATGAACAGGATACTAAACAGAGATCAGGATGATAACTTTAAATATATCATGCAGACGCCGGCTCACGCGAGGATGCAGCTTTTCGGAGACGTGCAATCGTATAATAATGTTAAAATTGTATCACCAAATGAGTGAGTGAGTGAGTATGGCTTTACGCCGCTTTCAGCAATATTCCAGGAATATCACGACGGTGACACCAGAAATGATGCTTCACACATTGTACCCATGTGGGGACACACCCATGTGGGGAATCGAACCCAGGTCTTCGGCGTGACGAGTGAACGCTTTAACTACTAGGCTACTCCACCGCCCCTGTCACCAAATGAGATAGTCAAAGTTGTGTGCACTCGATCACCAATCCATTTCCGAACGTTTATTATGTTTAATGTTTAGTATCAAACGGGGGTGGGGTGAGGGGCGGGGGCTTTCTTGTTAGAGATCTCCAAACATTGCACCCGTGCCCTAGTATTCATACTTATTCATAAATTCACATCAATGTAACAATTTAAGTCAACATCTAAAATAATATGTTACATTTATTTACATAGAAGTAGAGTATAGAACAACATTTTAAATGTACATCATGAAGTCAGTTACCATAATATCAGTTAATATAATAAAAATCTTCTCGCATCATATTTTCCGATTAAGCTTATGCTGAACTTTTTGTTTTTGTTTGTTTGTATATATGGCTTAAGGCACTCCGCTTGTCCCGACCAACGGATAAGTCGATATGTTGGTTATGACTTCGAGTCGAGGTTTAACAGTATATTAAGCAGTTTATGTGTGAGTTTGATGCTCAGTCCAAGGCACAAATGTCTTCTCAGTCTGATCTGTGTCTTCACACCGCCGCCAGCAGCCACACCACTGTACAGGCGAAGGCAACTGCCACACAGATGTGTGCACACAGGATGAAAAGCATCAGCGTCGCATACTGAAAAACACATTCACATTATTAGGGTACAGCAACCTATTTATTTCATCATCATCATCTATTATTATTGTCGTCATCATCATTTATTATTGTGGTTATCATCATCATCGTCGTCGTCATCGTCATCTATTATTATTGTCGTCATCATCATTTATTATTGAGGTTGTTATCATCATCGTCGTCATCATCATCCTCATCTATTATTATTGTCGTCATCATCATTTATTATTGTGGTCGTCATCGTCATCTATTATTATTGTCGTCATCATCATTTATTATTGTGGTCGTCATCATCATCCTCATCTATTATTATTGTCGTCATCATCATTTATTATTGTGGTCGTCATCGTCATCTATTATTATTGTCGTCATCATCATTTATTATTGTGGTCGTCATCGTCATCTATTATTATTGTCGTCATCATCATTTATTATTGTGGTTATCATCATCATCATCATCGTCGTCGTCATCATCATATATTATTATTGTCGTCATCATCATTTCTTATTGTGGTTGTTATCATCTTCATCATCATCATCATTTCTTATTGTTATCATCATCATCATCATTATTATTATTATTATTATTATCATTAACACATCTCCGGGTGACATCAACAAGGCATAGACACAAGATAATATCAATAGCCTCAGATCACCTGTGGCTTTGAGCTGGCCTCCTGATCGATGTTGTTCACCCGTTGTTTTCCTGTCAAAGAAACATTCAGTATGTGTAATGCTGCGGGAGCCCACATTGTGGGGTGAAACATGCTTTTGGTCAAATATCTAAATGCTGGGAAAATCGTATAATCGATGTTGAATCTTACTTTCCCCATCTTACTTACAGGAGAGGTCGATATGTGACTCACTATATGGCAGCTTTTGAATGTATATACGAATAGTAAAACTTTGTTTGTATCGACTGTTAATGTTTCAGATATCAGGCCATTCGGTTTCCTAAAAGATGGAAGGTTAGTCCGACGGCATGCTAACTAAGCCCCATGGATCAACAAATATTCTGATCACACGGATCAGGTGGACAATTTGCCAGCAACTGGTAACCTGAAGACGACAAGCGATACATATCGACCCAAGATCAGATTCTACAGAAACCAAAACTGTCCCAAAACGGGCAACATCTACAGAAAGAAAACCATAGTGATTGGTTATAAGGAAAAGGAAGGTTCACTCGACAAAGAGGTAAGTTTATATCGTAGTATCCTCCATTGTATTATATCTCCAGTCTTTCGCGATACATGATTCATTAGTTTCGTTTGAGAGGCAATGTCACTTTCCCTTAACGCTTATCTCCACACAGAATGTCTGTCGCACCCGCGTGTCATGAATGGTCGGTTGCCACCCTCGTGTCATTCGAATCAGACTGAAAAAAGGTTGGCTGGTTGGTTGGCTGTTTAACGCCGCACTGAGCAAAATTCCAGCTATATGATTGCGGTCTGTAAATAATCGTGCTTGGACCAGACAATCCAGTGACTGACATCATGTTTGTTTGTTGTTTAACGCCGCACTCAGCAGTATTACAGCTCTATGATGGCGGTCTGTAAATAATCGAGTCTGGACAAGACAATCGAGTGATTGACACAATCAGCATCGATCCACGCAATTGGGATACAATGACATGCATCAACCAAGTCAGCGAGGCTGACCACCCGATCCCGTTAATCGCCTCTTTCGACAAGCATGGGTTTTTGAAGACCTATTCTACCCCGGATCTTCACGAGTCTCTGTGTTAGCGAACGGATCCAGGCATTGCCGTACTAGAATAGAAATATTATATGTTGGATAACTGAGGACACTGGACAGTCTAGGATGAAGGTGGTTCCTTAAGTGTAACCTTTAAATTACAATGTCAGATCTATGTTATACCTAAGTATTATCAGTATAATAAGTATTACAATTAGTAATAAGTGTTAAAAGTAATACAATGTTGTATTTTATTTACACCTGTCTTCTACGCTTGTCGTAAAAGGCGACTAACGGGATCGGTTGGTCAGGCTCGCTGACTTGGTTGATGCATGTCATCGATCCCAAATGCGTGTTTTGATGCTCATGATATCAATCACTGGATTGTCTGGTCCAGACTCGATTATTTACAGACCGCCGTCATATAGCTGGAATATGGCTGAGTGTGGCGTTAAACAACAAACCAACCAACCAACTACACCTGTCTTCGATTCTTCTTGAAGTACATATTAAACAAACTGACCCTTGTTTGTGGAAAGGCACCTGATGATCTCCAGACTTCCCTCGACGAGCAGATGCCAGCCGAGGTAGCCAGCGACGATGAAGGGCATGTAGAGGGGGGCACTGGCTTTCGGCATCCTCATACCAAACAATATCGCCACTCCTGAAGAAAAAAAGATGTTTGACAGTTTTGACGGCTCTGGGTTAGTTTTGCAAACTTGCAACGACTCGTACCTTTATGTGGTAAAAAAGAATTAAAGCGGCAAAATCCTTTTACATTCATCAGAAATTTCTGCTGAAAACAGTCGATTATGACTGTACCGTAAGCATGTGTTTATGAATCACAATCCAATAGCGGTGACGCCCGTTCGCGAAAAGGTGAGCGTACCCTGCCCGACCATTGTCTCCCGTCACAAACACATGCGAAGACAAGGCAATTGTTCATCTTAAAAAACACGGGAATGTATTGTACCATGCATTGAATGTTGTAACCTTGATCAAACAACTTAGGAGCTAGAGTCTTTGAAATCTTGGTAGAAAATGAATGCTCGATTGTACCCCAGAATTTGTGAAATGACACCAAGGCCTGGAGCTGCAGGAATATTTTTTCGGCATTAAGGGTAAGTTGACTATTGGAAGGTCGTGGAGAGTGTTTCGTGTTATTGTATAGATCTAAATGTGAAACAGATGAGGTCTCCTTTATTTCTAGTTCAGGTGGGTAAGGACATTCGGCTTGTACCGAGTGTTGCGTCAATTCGTTCCTTTCCGTAATCAGCTTCGGCTTTTCTCGAAAAGAAACGAGTGGTCACGGCTGGCTTTAACTTTTACCGCATTGTTGTTTCCATGACGACCAGTGAATGTTTATTCTAGTTTTAATTCAACGTAAGAGGTAAAAAGGTAGATATTCACGTTCAAATGTTTAGTTCTATTTAATTTCAAGGCATGGTATATATTAGCACATCTAGTGCAAAGATATCGGGCGTCATGAAAAACATCGAACCGGTCATCTACTCCCTTTAAGGGGACGCATTGGCCATACAGCCATGAACCGGTCTATTTCAGGAGGGCTTCAATACAGCGCGTGACTAATATCTTTGTATGAATCGCTTGCTAACGCCAAGTGATCTGGGCACATTGCACAATCTCATCACTCTCAGATCCTTTACTTCGATCCGAGTCCCGTGACGATCTGGGATAGAATAGGTCTTCAGCAACCCATGCTTGTCGTAAAAGGCGACTATGCTTGTCGTAAGAAGCTCAGGTGGTCAGGCTCATTGACTTGGTTGATGCATGTCATCGTATCCCAATTGCGTATATCGATGCTTATGATGTCAGTCACTGGATTGTCTGATCCAGACTTGATTATTTCAGACCGCCGTCATACAGCTGGAATATTGCTGAGTGCGGTATTAAACAACAAACAAACCTAATGCATGAAGATCTAAGTACTTCTGTGATTCACTAGGGCATGATGGCACATAGACCGGTTACACATTGTGACCACTGGATCCTACAACAAGCATGAGGCACTGGGGACCCATCCTTCCCCCGGAATCTCCACAAGGAGACAAACTTGAGATACTAGAGACCTATTATTCACGGAATACTTACAGAGAGACAACCAATGGATACTGGGGGCCTATTTTTCCCTGAATCCCCAGGAAATCCAGTTTATAGGTGGTTTATTAAACCTCATCATATATGGTTACTGTAAAAAGTTTCACAAACCTGCAACAAGGAACGCTCCTTTACCGACCAGGAAATGAGCCCAGTTGAAATAAACTCTTCTTTCTGATTTTGGTCCGGGTCTCAATAACGCCATAATGGGCTGAAAATATGTATTTATATTGTTATGCCTACCGTATTGTGCCAGGTTTGGTGACGAAATATTGTACAGTTTTCAATATCTGCTCCGGAAAGGAACACTACCGCCAGTTTCAGTCTAAGTCAAATTCGTTGCCATGGAAACTCGAAAAATATATTTTTCAAAAATCTATCAAAAGGCACCAGTTCACCACTAGACCTATCTGTGTGCCAAGTTTGATTAGGATATCTCCCACGGTTTTTATGTTCTGCTCCCGAAATAAAACGTGACGTGACAGCATCCCTTCCTATATCCCCTTCCACTTCGAGGATAGATCAAACCATGTCGCCCGGGATACCGGTGGACAACGAGTTTATCTTACCGTACAGGGGGCACGGGTGGCCCAGTCGTCTAAGGCGCCGCGATTCGCTGTGCAGAGTTGCGTCCCTTGGGCACGCCAGAAACCTATGATTGTGGGTTCGAATCCCGGTTCTCCCCAATTATGTTTCTAGGTTTGTCAGCACCATACCCGTGCTCGTGGGTTTCACCGAAGTGGTAAACGTCTGAGACCTGCATCACTTCGGGCTTTCCTCCCACATTAAGCTGACACGCCGCGATATAACTGGAATATTGTTAAAAGCGGCGTTAAACCAAACTCACTCACTCACTCACTCTTACCGTACACCTAATTATTTTGCAGGTATATTTTATGCATGCTTTGATCCGAATCGGAAAGAATACCAGAGTTAAGCATTTATAACAGACGACAGAAAACAATCTAGAGTTATTCCCCCTGGATCTATTTCATTCGGTACATATCCGGAGAAAACGGGGTCTCACATAAATAATTCGAGATACAAAGTTGCGGTTGGTATGTTGAAAATCTAATGCTAACAGGGAACATTAGAAATGTACCTTACAAGTTGAAAATAATGGAATGGGGCTTAGCCAATCAGAATCCGACATTCATGTGTAGGAACTCCTTAAAACGGGGCTGATCCACCCAGCCTGGTTCCCTGGGTATGCTGCGCAGGCGCTACACTGATCAGTGTAGCGCCAGCGCAGCATACCACGGGGACCTGGCTGTGATCCACCATGCTGAGATCTCGTAGATGTTTACCAGTTTTAGCAGAACAATTAAGGACCGTAAAGGATATAACTATGAAAACACAACCACAGTATCCCATCTTCCCGAGGCAAGGGAGTTGTTAACAAACTGCAAAAGTGGACTTTGATGGTCAGTTAACTCCCTTGCCTCGATAGGGAGGATCCTGGTAAGATTCTGATTCTGTGAAACTAAAGGTCGTATTCTGTTTGAATGTGGGCTTCCGACTCTGCTTAGCGAATTGTTTGACCACTTAGATCCCGTGTAATAACTTCATTAGTTAAGCTGTTAATCAGCCATATCACAGCTTATATTATCTTCATATCATCCTGTATTATCTCTTGTGAATATACTTACATTTAACACGACCAATATTGTGGCTACTATACCAAGTATAGGATGCGCTTTCTGTCCAGGTTCTTCAGCCTGTGAATAAAGCGGGTATATTGTATCGAACGATTAGGCGTTTGTTTTCTTATTACATAGTTAAGATTCCACAGAGATGGAACAAAAGATCGTTTTCTTCCCAAATTTCAGAGATAAGAAAACTTTAAACAATAGATCCATATGGGAAGGATTTTGTTTTATTATCCTTATTTCTACGACCATCGACCCTCGCAGCAACATGCGAAGCAAGTAGTAATACGGTCTCTGTGGTTTTAATTCCATATATTGCGCTTATATGTTATTGTTTATTAGTCAAAAGAAACAATATTGTGATTGTGCCGTTGACAGTACTTTACTGTTTATAATATAAACAAAATATGATATTGTTGGGAGAAGTATTGTACGGAAGCCTTTGAGGGCCATTTGTCTATTTTTTAATTATGCTAACATGAAATTTCAAGATGTCACGTTGAAATTTCAAGTTAATATCTTGAAATTTCAACCAATTATTTTGAAATTCCAAGATCATTATCTTAAAATTTCGACTTAGTTTCTTGAACTGTCAACATGACATCTTTAAATTTCATGTTAGCATAATTAAAAAAGACAAATGGCCCTCAAAGGCTTCCGTAGTATTGTCACACGGGTACCTTGGTGTAACCTTCCACCTCCACAAAGATCAGTATGAAAGCGATGACTGTAAACAGTAGGGTGCCGGTCATGCAAGCACGGTGAACCTGTGAAGAAATGGTGAATATCATCATCATCATCATCATCATCATCATCATCATCATTATCATCATCATCATCATCATCATCATCATCGTTATAACCGCAGCTAACCAAGGGGCATATTCAAACAAATCATGATTCGAATGCTCATCAGAGCAGTGAGGCCAATGACATTTCTTTATATGTCTCGGGCGTAGGCAAGCATCTACTTAAAGTGAGTGATTGAGTGAGTTTGGTTTTATGCCGCCTTTAGCGATAATCCAGCAATATCAGGGCGGGGGCCACCAGAAATGGGCTTCACACATTGTGTCCATGTGGGGTATCGAACCTGGCCATTGGGCGTCACGAGCGAACGCTTTAACCACTAGACTATTCCACCGCCCAGAGTTTCGTAAAGACGCGTTCATGTTAAAATATTAGAAAAAAACACTTCCAGAATACCTCTTAAACCAGTCATTAGCCCTACCCATGCATTTAAAGTTAGTCCAAAACATGAAAAGAACAAAAGTCTTATTCTCACTCATACGAACAGGTGAATTAACTTTCATAATGATAGGATTTCTTCATTTTTTAAATTATGCACATCTCGGGGCCAAAAAGGCCCTCATCATACCTTGTCTTTTAGGTCCCTACCCTTTCTATGCCTGTAATTCGTCCCGTGTGAATGCCAGATTATTACCTTAATGCTAATTGGTTAGACCTGTCCAATTACTTAATCGACACCACGGAAAACATCCCCCAGAATGGAAATTAGATGATACAGTTGCAGTCGATACTGATCTGATTCATTGACTATGCTATCACAACCTGCACATTTCTGCGTCGGCGTATAGAATCACCATGGCAACTTTGGGGCAACTAAGAACCGCCATGCGGGAGGTTGCCGTGAGTGCTGCAACAACTGTATCACACGAGAATCTCCTACTTGACAACGCGCAGCGCGTACGTGTGTGTATAGGGGAGGGTGGGGTGTGTGTGTGTGGGGTGTGTGTGTGTGTGGGGTGTGGATGCGAAGAAGAAAAGGTTAATATGTTCGTCAAGATTCTTGCATCAGTGAATTGTAGACTTACATCTAGTCTCTGAAATGAACATATTTTACAGAAAAAGAACAGTTGTTAAATTATAGTTATAAAATATAATAAAAAGGAATCCAGAGACCTTCTTCATTTTCAGATACTGTAGTAATCTAGACTTGCCAAACATTATAGACTTTCATGGGCTGTCTTGGACATATTTGTCTTAGGGTCTGTATGACAGACTAATTGTATATTTCTCCAGTCTTTTATGATGCCCATTCTCTGACATAACTTTTATTTGATTAGTAGTGAGTGAGTTCGGTTTAACGCTGCTTTTAAAAGTATTCCAGTTATATCGCGGCGTGCCCAAGGGACGCAACTCAGCACAGCGAATCGCGGCGCCTCAGACGACTGGGCCACCCGTGCCCCCTATTTGATTAGTAACACGAGCGTTTACGTCAATGATAGCACTGACAACGATATTTGCTAAGTCCTCATACAGTTGTCATGCGTATTTTCCTGTTCGTGCATCTTGCCTACAATAATCTTGGTTACTGGTTACACAGCCATGGAGTGTTTAATGGATAGGGACGAACTAGAGCCTTCCGTGCTTACGCATGTATAGGTTTACTATAGTTCCTTGACACGATTGTGTGAACTCTACATAATAAAATTACATGTTCGTAACAACCTTTAAAAAATTGAAACTTGATCAATCTGAACTAACTACTTGTTATTATCCTCTTTTTTGAGACAAAAAGTATGTTTTGAAGTACTGACCGAAATTATATGTAGTCTCAACAAAAATCCCAAATTGCATTAACGTACTCGTATTGCATTGAGTTGGTCGTATCAATATTTGAATTTAAAACAAATGGTTAAATGTCTGAAAACGGAAACAAAGCCAGGTTCTAAACAAGAAGTCCTGTGGGCATTTTACCTGAAACCATATGTTGGCTCCACCGACGGTCGTATCCGGCCACATGAGCTTGTAGAACCTTGCAATGACCATCCCTACACTGGCCAGAAGTAGCCAGGCGACGGACATCAGACTTCCTGTAAATATTACATCATTGAACATATTCATGCCGGTTTCTCTGTCACAGACAAAGAGACTCACAATCTTCATGAAAGATTCCGTTCCGTTGAAAAAAATGATTGCTTGAATTAATCTCAAATTTAAAAAGTTAAATTATGATATTTTCAGAAACCATGGTAACGGCAGTTTTTCTGGAGGTATAACTCACCATGAGCCTTGACTAGAACAAACTCAAGGGTTACCGCCCCACTGATAGAAGTCTCCTGAAGGTCAATCACAGCAGCCGATATCGTTGGAAGGGAACCATGTTTGCTTTTTGCAAAGCCTGGAAAGAAACATTTCTTGCAATATATATATCGGTATCACACCCGATGCACCTGTTCAACAAGGCTTATATCCTTTCATAGTAGTTAGATTGTTCGCACGTCTCTACGGAGGAGTGAGTGAGTGAGTGAGTGAGTGAGTGAGTTAGGTTCAACACCACTTTGAACAGTATTCCAGTTATATCACGGCGTGTCAGTTTAATGTGGGAGGAAAGTCAGAAGTGATGCAGGTCTCAGACGTTCACCACTTTGGTGACCCCAGCGAGCAGGGGTATGGTGCTGACAAACCTAGAAACATAATCTGGTGTATCGAAACCACAACCATACAGGCTTTTGACATGCCTGTTTAAGGGACGCAACTCTCCACAGCTAATTCCAGCGCCTTCAGTCGACTGGGCCACCAATGCCTCCAACTTATTTGAGAAAATATAGACAATCTATCCGTCTCGTGGTCACCATGCTAGCATTAAATCATGCCTGGTAGCCATTGTGTCCATTAGATCTACGTTGACTCAATACTGATGATTGTCATTGGTACTGCAGTTGTTACTCGGTGAAAGGAGTTGGTTGGTTGGTTGGTTGGTTGGTTGTTTAACGCCGCACTCAGCAATATTCCAGCTATATGACGGCGGTCTGTAAATAATAGAGTCTGGACCAGACAATCCAGTGATTGATATCATGAACATCGATCCACGCAACTGGGATACGATGACATGCATCAACCAGGTCAGCGAACCTGACCACCCGATCCCGTTAGTCGCCTCTTACGTCAAGCATAGTCGACCTTTATGACAAGCATGGGTTGCTGAAGACCTATTCTGAGGACAGGAGGGATAGGGGTGTGGTGACCTACCGGCACTGGCCACGCCTTGTGCTGCCAACAGGTAAAAATCCTGTGTCAGGTTGAAGGAGTTAGGGTCTGATGTACCCCCCGTCTCGCGAAGGAAGGTGCAGTCAAACACGCCGTTGTTGACGGAGCCAGAGACGCCGCTGATGCCATCCTCGGGCTGAAATATATACATCACTCTAGGCACGAAGGTGAGGTAAAATGGGGCTTAACGTCCCGTTCAAGATTTTTTCATTTACATAGTGACGTGCATGGATTCCCAACTCAGACACAGTATACTGACTCCGAGCAGACCAGTCGTTGTTTTATGCCTTAATGTCGAGCCCCAGACAGGGTAACAACAAGTACCATCTTTAACGTCTTTTGGTATGAAACACCGACCTTCCGCTCTGGGCAACCGCTCTATCCACAAGCCTATGGTGCGACAGTTCACGCGATACTTGAAAATATTGATGTTAGAAATATACCCATCATATATTTATAATGTTTACTTGGTTTTGAATCAATAGGGAAATCCTTACCTGTACTCTAATTATAATTATACGAGTGAGTGAGTTGGGTTTAACGCCGCTTTTAACACTATTCCAGTTATATCGCGGCGTGTTAGCTTAATGTGGGAGGAAAGTCCGAAGTGATGCAAGTCTCAGACGTTTACCACTTCGGTGAAACCCACGAGCACGGGTATGGTGCTGACAAACCTAGAAACAGAATTGGGGAGAACCAGGATTCGAACCCACAATCATAGGTTTCTGGTGTGCCCAAGGGACGCAACTCTGCACAGCGAATCGCGGCGCCTTAGACGACTGGGCCACCCGTGCCCCCTATAATTATACGAACCCTACAGACAGTTTAGATGCACGTTTTTATCTTTAAATACAAATCAGCCTCGCTCTTCAAGCAAATAGATCATCCAATATTCCAATCCGTGTTATATTATCGGATGTTTCTTTCATATTAATCTTTTTCAAATACGAAACTCTTTAATCAACGACATACATGTCTTTACCACACATCGGATAGGATATCTATAACAATCAGATCATAAATTTGCGTTTGGTCGTCTCTTAACTGACTTTGTTTATGTCCATGTACAAAAACATACACTGGCCAGTCTTGAATTTGAGTAGCCGGCGTTGAAAGACTGGAACGCCTTGACCACTCCGCCAAAGACGACGCACTCGGTGACGCTATCACCTCCCTGCGACATAAACAAATACTTAAATGAAAGCAAAGTACCACAGAAATATATTGAAATGTATGGGAAGCATGAACTTGTTCGTGGATTTTGTTAAAGTTGGGAAAACACAAGTTCACGATGTAGCGGGTGGGGTGAAATTGGGTTTAACGTCGCGGTCAAGATTATTGCACATATATAGCGACTTGCTTGTGCACGTGTGTGTGTGTGTGTGTGTGTGTGTGTGTGTGTGTGTGTGTGTGTTTGTGTGTGTTTGTGTGTGTGTGGAGTTTATATATAGTTCTAACTCACAAAGAAACCATGCCGCAATTTAACAGGAATACCCCACACAGAAAAGACCTTGTTTTAGTGCCTTGTTCCAGACAGGGTACGACAAGTACAAACTCTTAACGTATTTTGGTATGACGCGGCCGGGGATCGAACCCCCAACTTTCCGCTCTCCCGGCAGACGCTCTACCACTAGACCACGGAGGCGGTCTTTGTGATGGAAAAATACACTTAGGTGAAGTATGCATGCACACAAATCAGTGACGTCACGATCAGCGCATAAAAAAACAAGGGTTTTTTTAGGTGTTGATACTCTTTGCGGTCGTAAAAAATGTTTTGTACTGATATATAAAAACATAAGACAACAAAAATATATGTTTTCAAGTGCAAATCTGCCAAAGCGATCTTAACACTTTTATGACTGATGCACATTACGCAGAGAATAGGTCTTCAGCAACCCATGCTTGCTGTAAAAAGCCACTATACTTGTTGTAAGAGGCGATTAACGGGATCGGGTGGTCAGGCTCGCTGACTTGGTTGATGCACGTCATCGTATCCCCATTGCGTGGATCAATGCTCATGATGTCAATCACTGGATTGTCTGTTCCAGGCTTGATTATTTACAGACCACCGTCATACAGCAAACATACAAACATAATGCAGTACACGTACCATAGACGTGTCCCCGGAGAATCCAATAGCGAAGTACGAGTTCCCGGATGAGAGAGACTTGTACTGGAACCGGATGTTGCTCCCCTCCGTAGACCACGTGACCGAGAACGTGCAGCCAGTGTCGCAATTGTCGAAGCATCCTTTTGTCTTCCCACATTCGGGGTCACGTGAAATGCCCTGTAAGCAACAAGAGTGAGTGAGTGAGTATGGTTTTACGCCGCTTTTAGCAACAGACCAACAACATCACGACGGTGGCGCCAGGAAAGGGCTTCACACATTGTACCCATGTGGAAATCGAACCCGGGTCTGCGGCGTGACGCAGGAAAAAGCAACAAGAATGAAGATTAACGTTTTGACTTAAACGTAATCAATAGTTACCAGGCAGGGTGTATGTATTTTGTTAACTCATAAAACGTTAGGGAACGATAATAAAAAGGGCTCCACCATTTATTCGAAAATATAAGATAGCTGAACCATAAAGAATAGTGAAGAACGAAGCGTGATTTATTTCATTTCCCGAGGCAAGGGAATTAACTGACTCTAAAAGTCCAGTTTCCACCCTTGGAAATTCTGGTAGCGCTATCCGTGGGTATTATGGGTTATGTCCCTTTGCTTTAACTTCAAACAAAATGGCGGCGCCCAGTCAAGACGATCTGAACGATGAAGAAGATTTATATTGTAATAAAACGGGTCTTACATCGCGACATGACTCAAATCACGTTATTTACGACTTTGATTTACATGAAAATATTTGAAGAATCTGTCGACGCCCAGTTGACGGTGCACATCCTTTGCAAATCCTGCAGCCGACCGAAATCTGCACGTTGAAATCCATGTTGTTTACGAACCAGATATCGATTTCGATACGCGATTTTGATTGGACTATGCATAAACTCGTTAGTCCAGCCAGAATACAACTCCATAATTCCAGCCTAGTTCGGCTAGGATGGAAACTGGACTTTTACACTCAGTTAACCCCCTTGCCTAGGGAAGAGTGAGTTATTGAGTATTGCTTTACGCCGCTTTTAGCAATATTCCAGCAATATCACGGCGGGGGACACCAGAAATGGACTTCACACATTGTACCCATGTCAGGAATCGAACCCGGGTCTTCGGCGTGACGAGCGAACGCTTAAACCACTAACCTTGGGAGGATGAAGACTGTAATCATAATGTATACTTTGGACCACAACAGCGTGTGGAAATGAGATGATGAGCATTGAAAATCATCATTTGGGAAGGAGCAGTGCAAATCAACACAATTTGTGATACAGGTTTCTCACCACCGAAGGTACCGAAGGCGCCGTAGACACTGTTGTCCCTCCTGTTGTTGAAGTGCAAGGTGCCATTGTCGCCGTCATCAGCGACGCCTCGGTGACGCTGAGTGCACCAGCCGTGGCATCAGTCAGAACGGCGGAGGTCACGCCGACCCAGAAGACCGGTTCAGTCTTCACAAACGTCGTTCTGGAATAATCATTAACATCATACAACATGCTGCAATAAAAACAATCACTTTGACGGTTTGGTGACATGCACACAGATGTATGTGTGGCTGTTTGTGCTGGTGATGGTTTACCTGGTCCCGCCGTGATAAAGATGGCGTTAAACAGCATTCACTCACTCACTAACTATCTCTCACCTGAAGATGATGTGCCCTGTCGCCGGAGTAGGAGCCGTCCATTGCAAAGTCAATCTGGATTTGGGGCTGCTATTGATATGTGTCAGTCCACGTTCTGTCTGTAAAATAGAGGACCTCTATTTCATTGTTCATTCCGAAATAACGTGTATTTATTCCGAACTGTTGATTATTTGACCGTTTGTATGACGAATTGTTTGTCTGTTGTGGTGGCCGAGAGGGGATATTGTTTCTCGCCTTTCTCGCGAGAGGAGAAAGTATGGTGGCCGAGAGGGGATATTGCTTTCTCGCCTTTCTTTCGAGAGGAGAAAGTATGGTGGCCGAGAGGGGATATTGTTTCTCGCCTTTCTCGCGAGAGGAGAAAGTATGGTGGCCGAGAGGGGATATTGCTTTCTCGCCTTTCTCGCGAGAGGAGAAAGTATGGTGGCCGAGAGGGGATATTGCTTTCTCGCCTTTCTCGCGAGAGGACAAAGTATGGTGGCCGAGAGGGGATATTGTTTCTCGCCTTTCTCGCGAGAGGAGAAAGTATGGTGGCCGGGAGAGGACATATATCTCTCTCTCCATCCATCTCTATAATTCTCACAGCTGTTTTGCCTTTTAAACCTAGAATTTTTCAACATTTTGTTGTCGATAAATATGTTAGATATAGATACAGAATGCTATCTCGTTTAGTTTGTATACACGCATGTATTATTTTATTATAATCAATTACCAAGATGCACATACACTACAACAGAAAAATCCTTTACTTTTAATATATTTCGAAAAATCAAATGCCAAAAGCAATATTTATGGACGACAATATTACAGCATTCACACTGTAACATCATATACTACTCAAAACAAGTTAACGAATACCCACAATTATAAGATTGTGTTTTGCAATATAATCAGCCATGACTGATTACTTATAGTCATATGAACGAACTGGGTGTTCTTTAACTTCTTTTGAAAGGTATATATTTACATTTAACCTCATTTATTTAGAGCGTATTGCCATGACACCAATACGGAAAAAGAAAATCCGAATTAAAACAAGCCCGTCTAAATTCTTCCGTAACTTACAGCATCACCGTTGTTGCAGCGTTTCTGGGTGGTTGCAGCGTCAATGGATGTGAACTCTCCTATCAGCTCATCGTTGTCATTGTTGGGGTCCGCCCGACGAGCTTGAATCAGGAACCCTCCAAACTCCTCCCCGCATCGCCCCTCCAGCGTCACTGGGGGGAAATGATACCTCACCTTATTTTAAAGTTAATGGTCAGTCCGGTTTTACCGTGATTTTCTCTCTTTACCAGATAATGATACCACGAGGAAAAGAAGTGAAACTGGTAGTTACTATAGACACGCAGAGGGCCTGACACTGAACCAGTGCTTGAGTGAGTGAGGGATTTAGGTTCTACGCCATATTTCAGCTCCAGAAAACATGAATTGGTTTCACACGTTTTGTTCGTCTGTTGAATCGAACCACAAGGCTCTACCATGGTCCCTTGTGTAGTTGATGAGTTTTGTTTCAACCGCTCTGAAGAGCGAGTTACTAAACAACGGGGCCAACGGTTGCTCTCAAAAGGGCTATTAGCTATTGCTGAGCAACTATAAATGCCAGCAGAGTATGAGATCGTGGCATAAACATGGGATTTGTTTGATTGTTTGTGGTTAATCAACGCACCGTGACGGCGGTCTCTAAAAAGCCGAGTCTGACTCAGACAATCCAGTGATTGATATCATGCGAGTCGGGGCAAAATGGGACCCAGGCACCGATTCTGACAACCCCATCCATTAGGTCGCCTCTTACGACCAGTATAGTCTTCTGGGGACCTATTATAACCCGAAATTCCCATGGGGGGTGAAGGCGTTAGAGGGGACCTCCGAATCCATCTACCCATCTACCCCGGAGATATTTTAGATAATCTCTCAACTATGAGTAGATGAGTCACCCGGAAACCGAAAACTATTCAAACGAATTGACACACCGAATATCATTATTGTAAATCCTGAACACCGTACTGCCTGAACACCGTACACAAGGGACCAGTAACTACCTTCGATTGTCTCCCCTGCCGTGTACGTAGTCTTCGACGTCAGCACCACGAATGGCGAATCCGTTGTCTGTGCGGTAGTCGTGTGGCTGGGTGTAAGGCTCGCACAACCGGTAGTACCAGCGCCGCTGGTATATGCACGTGCTTCACGTGCAAACACCAGCACTAACAACAGGACGAAGCGAGGACATACGGAAAGCCTTAAGATTCTCATAGCTATCTGAAATAGAATTATATCCAGTAAATGATAAGAAGTATGAATCAATAAGGATTAATCCTATCTTATCTTTTCTTAAATCTGTCATACATCTAACGCAGAATATTGAAAAAGCATGATCAGTCAAGGCGGGAAATACCAATGCGAATTGTCTGCGCACTGTGGAAACAAATTCATCATCGCAATCCATATGCATATACATTCCATATGCCTCCACAAGTTAAAGAAAAGAAAGACCATTGAGCACGGACCTCCATAACTCGACAGTGGTTAATGAGTGAGTGAGTGAGTTTGGTTTAACGTCGTTTAACGGTATTCAAGTTATTTCACGCCGTGTCAGAATAAATGGGACACTTTATCGGTGTGTCCCCTTAGATTCGAACCCAAGACCAGATCATGGCGGCTAGTGGTGCAAGATGGTGGATATGTAGTGAAGCTGAGTATTTTGTGTAGATGGCCGCCGCATGGACTACAATTCTCGCCAACCAGTTCGTCCAGAAGAGATGACGAGATCTGCCTTGTTTATTTGTTTGATGTTTAACGTTGCACTCGGCAATATTCCAGCTGTATGACGGCGGTTGTAAATAATCAAATCTGGACCAGACAATCCAGTCATTGACATCATGAACATCGATCGACGCAATTGGGATACGATTACAAGTATCAACCAATCGCGTTAGTCGCCTCTTACAAGCATGGGTTACTGAAGGCCGATTCTAGTCCGATCTTCACGGTTGATACAAGAAAACCTTACGGTGAGGCATCTACGCGGCATGTTGTATCATTAGGTTGAAAAGACAATCTTTGTGATGCCAATGAAGAAATGTCGTTTAACATCGCAGAGCGAAAAACTGTTGCAATCACGTGCACCCATATGCAGTGTGTGATGTGCCTTCCCACATGATTTTAGGGTTGTCAGCACAATACCCGTGCATCACTTCGGGCTTTCCTCTCACGTTAAGCCGACACGCCGTGGTATAACAGGAATACTGTTCAAAGCGACGTTAAACCCAACTCACTCGCTCACTTGCCGAAGTGATGCGACTTACAGTGTGTGATGTGACTTGATGTGTGATATGACTTGCTGTGTGATGTGACTTGCTGTGTGAAGTAACTTGCTTTGTGATGTGACTTGCTGTGTGTGAAGTGACTTGCTGTGTGATGTGACTTACCGTGTGTGGTGTGACTTACCGTGTGTGATGTGACTTACCGTGTGTGATGTGACTTGCTGTGTGTGATGTGACTTGCCGTGTGTGATGTGACTTGCTGTGTGTGATGTGAATTGCTGTGTGTGATGTGAATTGCTGTGTGTGATGTGACTTGCCGTGTGTGATGTGAATTGCCGTGTGTGATCTGACTTACCGTGTGTGATGTGACTTGCCGTGTGAGATGTGACTTACTTGGTGTGATGTGACTTGCCGTGTGTGATGTGACTTACGTGTATGATCTGACTTGCCGTGTGTGATGTGACTTACCGTGTGTGATGTGAATTGCCGTGTGTGATGTGACTTACCGTGTATGATCTGACTTGCCGTGTGTGATGTGAATTGCTGTGTGTGATGTGAATTGCTGTGTGTGATGTGACTTGCCGTGTGATGTGAATTGCTGTGTGTGATGTGACTTGCCGTGTGTGATGTGACTTGCCGTGTGTGATGTGACTTGCCGTGTGTGATGTGAATTGCCGTGTGTGATGTGACTTGCCGTGTGTGATGTGACTTGCCGTGTGTGATGTGAATTGCTGTGTGTGATGTGACTTACCGTGTGTGATGTGACTTACCGTGTGTGATGTGACTTGCTGTGTGATGTGACTTGCCGTGTGTGATGTGACTTGCTGTGTGTGATGTGACTTGCCGTGTGATGTGACTTGCTGTGTGTGATGTGACTTGCCGTGTGATGTGACTTACCGTGTGTGATGTGACTTGCCGTGTGATGTGACTTGCTGTGTGTGATGTGACTTGCCGTGTGAAGTGACTTGCTGTGTGTGATGTGACTTGCCGTGTGATGTGACTTACCGTGTGTGATGTGACTTGCCGTGTGTGATGTGACTTACCGTGTGTGATGTGACTTGCTGTGTGTGATGTGACTTGCTGTGTGTGATGTGACTTGCCGTGTGTGAAGTGACTTGATGTGTGTGATGTGACTTGCCGTGTGTGATGTGACTTACCGTGTGTGATGTGACTTACCGTGTGTGATGTGACTTGCCGTGTGTGATGTGAATTGCCGTGTGTGATGTGACTTACCGTCTGTGATGTAAATTGCCGTGTGTGATGTGACTTGCCGTGTGTGATCTGACTTGCCGTGTGTGATGTGACTTACCGTGTGTGATCTGACTTACCGTGTGTGATGTGACTTACCGTGTGTGATGTGACTTGCTGTGTGTGATGTGACTTGCTGTGTGTGATGTGACTTGCCGTGTGTGATGTGACTTGCCGTGTGTGATGTGACTTACCGTGTGTGATGTGACTTACCGTGTGTGATGTGACTTGCTGTGTGTGATGTGACTTGCTGTGTGTGATGTGACTTGCCGTGTGTGAAGTGACTTGCTGTGTGTGATGTGACTTGCCGTGTGTGATGTGACTTACCGTGTGTGATGTGACTTACCGTCTGTGATGTGACTTGCCGTGTGTGATGTGACTTGCTGTGTGTGATGTGACTTACCGTGTGTGATGTGACTTACCGTGTGTGATGTGACTTACCGTGTGTGATGTGACTTACCGTGTGTGATGTGACTTACCGTCTGTGATGTAAATTGCTGTGTGTGATGTGACTTGCCGTGTGATGTGACTTACCGTGTGTGATGTGACTTACCGTCTGTGATGTAAATTGCCGTGTGTGATGTGACTTACCGTCTGTGATGTAAATTGCCGTGTGTGATGTGACTTACCGTGTGTGATGTGACTTGCTGTTTGTGAAGTGACTTGCTGTGTGATGTGAATTGCCGTGTGTGATCTGACTTGCCGTGTGATGTGACTTACCGTGTGTGATGTGACTTGCTGTGTGATGTGACTTGCTGTGTGTGATGTGACTTGCCGTGTGTGATGTGACTTGCTGTTTGTGAAGTGACTTGCTGTGTGATGTGAATTGCCGTGTGTGATCTGACTTGCCGTGTGATGTGACTTACCGTGTGTGATGTGACTTGCTGTGTGATGTGACTTACCGTGTGTGATGTGACTTACCGTGTGTGATGTGACTTGCCGTGTGTGATCTGACTTGCCGTGTGTGATGTGACTGCCCAGATAACTACGTACATCGCCGCTGAACGTCAACAAACTACCATGGGTCGAGACACCTGAAGACTGTCAACTAAAACAGTTAGTTCAAAATCATTCACGTGAAGCGTACCTCAATTATTTATTCGATCACCAGTAATCAATACCTATATTTCTGCCATGTCATTCTTTGAACTAAAGAATTAGTGCTGAGTCACTCTACAGCTGGCGGCGTTAACTTGATTTACTGAAAAGGACCAAGTATTGATTCCTCAGCACGTCATTGTGTAGTCTTAAATAGTCCGTAACATTTGCCTAGAGAGTGTCTTCCTTGGCTTTCTCCTTGATAATGTCTTAAACTTTCGGAATCGCTGTATGTTTCATTATATAATTTAAGATTATAATTGAAGTTTGAAGGCTTATAAGGACGAGCCATCCCCAAACCCCTTTCCTTTAGATGCACTATTAGTCAAGTAAGTCGATTTATCTTCCCAAAAATATATATCTACCTGCAAAAGAAAGTACACATTTATGTTTGATGGTAGCTAAAACAAAACAGGAAATAGTTATTCGATGGTGATGTATTTGATACGGGTATCATAGTTATGTTTTGGATCTTACTTTTGCGGTGTTTCGGCGACTGTTTTCGGCTTAATATATTTTTTGGCTCGCATCCAGTTTTCAGATGTATACTTCTTTTATCCGTTAAATTATAAACCACATGAAAAAAGCCGAAACAATTAAACAGAGCATTCAGATTCAATAAAAGTCACAGTTCACCACGTCTGAAGAGTTCTTCAGTCGTATCAGTCTGTATACCAACTGTGTGTTGATAAAAGCTCTAAGGGGGTCTGTTATTTTCCTTAGTGTAAATTAGTTTTTGCGTGTAAAAACAAGTCTCATTTCTATGTAGATTTTATAAAACATTTTATATGTAAATAAATACAAGTTTCCAAACAGTTTTTTTTCTGTCGTATTATTTCTGCCGGCTACAATGGCTCACATTCCATGACACTGTCAGGTAAGAGACGGTGTATTTTATGTTTATGTCACACGTATTATAGAAAGGAAGGTTAAAACGAATAAAATACAACATCCGTGTCCAAGGTGCACTAGCAACATAATGAACAATATAAAAGCACCAGCTATTTTTTTGTGTGTAAATATGATAAAAAAACATCATGCATATTTCGGGCAAAGGATTAAAAGCAAGTGTTATAGTATCAAAGCCATTCCTGGTCCGGATTTGTGATCCATTGCATGTTGACATAAGAAAACAATTTAGTAATAAATACTATATTCTTGATCCCCCAAGTCATAAATTTTAGACCCGTGAAGATCCGGGGTAGAATAGGTCTTCAGCAACCCATGCTTGCCGTAAAAGGCGACTATGCTTATAGTAAGAGGCGACTAACTGGATCGGGTGGTCAGGCTCGCTGACTTGGTTGATGCATGTCATCGTTTCCCAATTGCGTGGATCGATAATCATGATATCAATCACTGGAGTGTCTGGTCCAGTCTCGATTATTTAAAGACCGCCGTTATATAGCTGGAATATTGCTGAGTGCGGCGTTAAACAGCAAATAAACAAACAAACATAAACTGTGCTTATAAATCAAACTGACCACAGTGTATACACAAGAAATCAACTCATTCATTCCACGATTTTTTAGGAAATCATGCAGCCATGATATTGTGTCTACCTGTTGGTGTGTCAGTCAAATAGATACCTTCTACAACATATAACTAGTTATTACACTATCGATCTGTTGCCCCCTCTGCATCAGTGAATGAAGATCGATTGAACCGGCCCTCCTCACAAGTATAGACGTCATACTTACTGGCTGATATTCCGATAGAGGTTAAAGCGACCAGCAATTATACTGCATCGTTTAAGACATATATAGATTCCATCTAGGTGACAGTTTAATACATCAATGTGACCTCCCAGTGTGCATCACATTGAAACATGTCTGTCAGCTGATCATGGAGCAAGTCTATGAAACATGATAGCCGGGTATCTCACGACCTACAAATCGATGCCGTTGTCATGGTGATATAAACAACACGTGGTGTTTATTCGAATTGTTTGAAACACCTGACGAAATTGTGTTTCATAACGTATACTAAGTCCGTTTGATGCAAAATCGTACCGATGAAATGCAAAATAAATAAATACCCTAAAGCAACAATTCGTCTTAAATGTCATATAAAAGTTATTTTTTGTCAATACCAACTCGTCACCATATAATTTCAGACATTAACAAACTCTCATGTAATTGTTGGTGTTTTATGCCTGTTGTCTCAAGGGGGTCTGCAGTGTAAACTAAATAGCCCTATATTCGCACGTGCGATTCGCACGTGTTAGACCAACCCACTACACTGTACTGTCTTTTCTGTAATAAAATCCTGTCAATAAAAAGTCTAAATCAGAAGCGTTTCTTTCTGTAGTAGTTATTAAAATCAATATACAATGAGAATCTGTAAGATATTCTCAAGGCAAAATTAGATATGTTCTTGGTACTGTTATTCAGCTAATTTCAAATGCAAATAATATAATAAACAGAACGAGCTCAATATATCATAATAATACATGATGAAATTCACAAATTATTTGAAAACCTTGGTATTTCACGTTTATGACTATTTCAAGTTGGACGGGGTGCATTGACAAAGTTGAGACTAGATTTAAAGCTTTAAAATTATTATTTCAGTTGACAGTAACAGTGACAATTAAAATATCCCTATGTTTCGCGATGCCCTTAAGCTGTTATGTTTATTGCGCAGACCCCCTTGTAACAACAAGCATTTAAAAAACAACAATCACATGATAGTTTGTTAAACAACTCTTTCTCTACTTCATGACAATGTCTGAAATTATGGTGACGTTTGTTTGTTGGTTGTTTAACGCCGCACTCAGCAATATTCCAGCTATATAACGGCGGTCTGTAAATAATCGAATCTGGACCAGACAATCCAGTGATTGACATCATGATCATCGATCCACGCAATTGGGATACGATGACATGCATCAACCAAGTCAGCGAGTCTGACCACCCGATCCCGTTAGTCGCCTTTTACGGCAAGTATGGGTTGCTGAAGACCTATTCTACTCCGGATCTTCACAGGTCAATTATGGTGACGAGTTGGTATGGACAAATAAATAACTTTCTTGCAATTTAAGACGAATTGTTGCTTTCGGATTTATATCCTTTTTTGACATTTTATCCGTCCAATTTTGCAGCAAACAGATTGAATATATTAAGTATATTCGAAGATCATACAAATCCGGTTGATGGCATAAAACATTAACAGGCTCTCTCAAAGGAATATCCAACTCGAAGGCAGTGTTTTATGTCTGTATGTATCGGGTGGATGTCACGCCTGACCGAATGTGTATAAAATGCAAGACAAGGATCGACCCATGTTTTCTGCTGTGTCATGCTGCGGCCATTCTTTTACCTCGTAGCTAATACATACCTGACTAACACTTCCTTTTCTGAGACAATAAGAAATCAATAATGAATCAGTTGCAACTAGAGTAGTTTGTATCTTCTAGCTATTAAAAGGGAAGACTTTCAAATATTGATCCGCCATTGTATATGTGGGCTACTGGAGTGGACGAATGGATTGATTCAACCTTTTATGAGAGAATCATAAGATAATAAGTCTGTTTACTTCAGTCATAAGATCGTACTAAAGTGATGAGTCTTCGTCTGTGAATATAAAACGCCAACGCCAGAGAATAAACAGTATCGATTATCTGCCGAAACGATTCTGTTGGGTTTAAAAGGCAAAATAGCGGTGAAAAATGGGTCTATAAACATCAGTGATGACACAGGTGTCTGCGAAAGAATATTAAAGTAAATCTACTTCCATAGAGAAAGTGCCTGGATTTTTCAATCATATGAAATGGCATAATGACATAAATACTAGTGAGATGGGTTTTACGCCACTTGTATAACCAGAAATGAGCCTTCGGCGTGAAAAGCGACTGCTTTAACCTCTTGGCTACCCAACCGCCCCATCTCAGTAAACATTTACGGATAACATGCATAAATTTGTCTTTCGTATATATGCGTCAACAGTGTTAAAGGTATTTAATCCTTTTTGTTGACTTAACGGGAGGTTTTTGATCCTTTTCGTTGGCTAAACCGGAGGTATTTGATCCTTTTTGTTGGCTAAACGGAGGGTATTTGATCCTTTTTGTTGGCTTAACGGAATGTACACTCTCTCAAATAAGAAACGCAACCCCAGTCTGAAAATGTTAGAAAGCCCCCAAAAGAAAAATGTTGATTGTAAATACAGTTTTTCTGATATGCACGGATACCATGTACACTGTTTATTAACGTAAGCGCCCAAACACATTAATTTTCGTGCACAAGGGCATTTTATTGTTACTTTTATCATAGTGAGCAAAATTTTCACGTGGCCCATGCCAAAAGCCTCATGCACGTGCAATTCATGGAAAGAGCAGTAGAAGTATGGGTTTATAAAAGCACGTGTTGGTTAGTGATTCACTCTATCATTTTCACCGAAAGACAAGGTCGAATATGCCACGGTTGAGTGCTGCAGATCGAAATATCGCCATTGGTCGTATTGAGGCCGGACAAAGCTTTGGAAACGTTGCCTGGCACCTCAATATTCATAAAACAACGATTCCCTACTTTGGAGCCAATACACCCAGTTTCATGCAACTGAAGATCGCCCCAGAAGTGGTAGGCCAAGTGTTACCACACCACCTCAGGATCGATTCATCCGGGTCACCCACCTACGTAATCGGCTAGCCACACCTACCGTCACTGCAAGATAGGTGCCAGGTTTGAGAAGAGTGTCCGCACAAACAATTAGGAACCGTCTACGAGGGGCGGGTCTACGTGCAAGAAGATCACTTATTGGACCTGTTTTACGCCACGAACATCGACGCCAACGACTCAGGTGGTGCACCAACGTTCGGATATGGACCCTCAGAAACTGGAGGCGCGTCTGGTTTAGTGACGAATCACGTTTTCGCTTACAACGCCGTGACGGAAGACAGCGTGTCTATAGAAGAGGAAACTAACGTTTTGCCCCGAAATGTGTTCGGCAGGTCGACAGATTTGGTGAAGGGAGCGTCATGGTGTGGGGAGCCATGTCTTACAACCAAAGATCAGACTTGGTGATCATTTGTGGCAATTTGACAGCCAAGCGCTATATCAATGACGTTTTACAGCCTCATCTTCTGCCGATTATCGACCAACAGAGAGAGCTCTATCAACACGACAACGCCCAGCCGCACACTGTTCATGCAACAGTGAATTTTCTCCAGAATTCTAACGTCAACGTGTTACCATGGCCCTCCCGATCACCAGACATCAACCCAATCGAACATCTTTGGGATTATCTGGATCGACGAGTACGTGCACGTACACCGCCGCCGAGACGTTGGATGCACTAGCCGTTGCACTGCAGGAGGAGTGGAGAGCAATCCCTCAGGAAAGAATCCGGCGTCTAATCCGTTCTGTTCCAAGGAGGTGCAATGCTGTGATCGCAGCTCGTGGCGCTCATACGAGGTACTGAGAAAGACGCCCCCTTGCGTCAAGTCAATCTTAGTGAGAGAACTGTCGAAGCCTGGACTTAAACTTGCATAACTGTACTGCCACCATGCCAAATTTCATGTTGTTGTCTTCAATAATAAATGTGTTATAATAACTTGAATATTGAGATAAACATCTTGAAAATATAGGGGTTGCGTTTCTTTTTTGAGAGAGTGTATTTGATCCTTTTTGTTGACTGAACGGGAGGTTTTTGATCCTTTTCGTTGGCTAAACGGGAGGTATTTGATCTTTTTTGTTGGCTAAACGGAAGGTATTTGACCCTTTTTGTTGACTAAACGGGAGTTTTTTTACCCTTTTTGTTGACTTAACGGGAGGTATTTGACCCTTTTTGTTGACTTAACGGGAGGTATTTGATCCTTTTTGTTGACTTAACGGGAGGTATTTGATCCTTTTTGTTGGATAACGGAAGGTATTTGATCCTTTTTATTGACTTAACGGGAGGTATTTTATCTTTTTTGTTGGCTAAACGGGAGGTATTTGATCCTTTTTGTTAACTTAACGAGAGGTTTTTGATCCTTTTCGTTGGCTTAACGGGAGGTATTTGATCCTTTTCGTTGGCTAAACGGGAGGTATTTGATCCTTTTTGTTGACTTAACGGGAGGTTTTTTACCCTTTTTGTTGACTTAACGGAAGGTATTTGACCCTTTTTGTTGGCTTAACGGGAGGTTTTTGATCTTTTTTGTTGGCTAAACGGGAGGTATTTGATCCTTTTTGTTAACTTAACGAGAGGTTTATTATCCTTTTCGTTGGCTGAACGGGAGGTATTTGATCCTTTTTGTTGACTTAACGGGAGGTTTTTGATCCTTTTTGTTGACTAAACGGAAGGTATTTGACCCTTTTTGTTGACTAAACGGGAGTTTTTTTACCCTTTTTGTTGACTTAACGGGAGGTATTTGATCCTTTTTGTTGACTTAACGGAAGGTATTTGATCCTTTTTGTTGACTTAACGGGAGGTATTTGATCTTTTTTGTTGGCTGAACGGGAGGTATTTGATCCTTTTTGTTGGCTTAACGGGAGGTTTTTTATCCTTCTCGTTGGCTATACAGGAGGTATTTTATCCTTTGTGTTGGCTAAACGGAAGGTATTTGAGCCTTTTTGTTGACTTAACTGGAGGTATTTGATCCTTTTCGTTCGTTAAACGGGAGGTATTTGATCCTTTTTGTTGACTTAACGGGAGGTTTTTGATCCTTTTCGTTGGCTAAACGGGAGGTATTTGATTTTTTTTGTTGGCTAAACGGAAGGTATTTGACCCTTTTTGTTGACTAAACGGGAGTTTTTTTACCCTTTTTGTTGACTTAACGGGAGGTATTTGACCCTTTTTGTTGACTTAACGGGAGGTATTTGACCTTTTTTGTTGACTTAACGGGAGGTATTTGAT